AAAATATAATAAAGGTTAAATTAAAAATATTATAATTTTTTTTTTTTTTTTTTTTTTTTTGCTTAAGACCTGAATTCCTAAAGTTGTCTGGAGGCCCCAATTTCTTGATGATTGAGGGACACATTGGGATAAGACCAGGGGGCCTATTTCAGGAGGCTTTTTCAACCATGGCCAGGCTGGACAGGCAAAGGGTCAAGTGGAAGTAAGCCACTGGATTTGCTCCAGCCTGAGGAGGTGGATCTGCTCCACGCTGATCCTCTGATGAGGTGAGGCGAGGTCTAATTCTTGTCCTGAGTTCCAATGTCAGTGAGGGCTCCAGAATTGTCCCAAGGTGACTGGGTAACTAAAGTACTTACGTTTCACAGTGACTAGTGCAAGCTATGGACATATGTTGGCTATTCAGGAGCCTCTCAGTCTTTTTCACAGCAGTTCCCATCTCTTGCTTACAGGTCAACGTTTGCTGCAGGTTGTTGTGAGGCCTCAGGGCACCCTGAAGATTCATCGTTTTAAAAAATTTTTTATTAAAGAGCTTGAAATTACAGTTTACATTCAATATTTTTTTGTATGGGTTTCAGTGTATGGCATAGTGGTTAGACAGTCATATCCTTTACAAAGTGTTCTCCCGATATTCCAATATCCAATGGGCATAAATATTCATCTTTTGAGTCAATGGAAAGGAAGGAATGGCCTGACTTCGTTAACATCTAGGTCTGCCCTCAGAACAAGCAGTCTGCAAAATCCCAAATGCTTCTCAGCGCTGTCTCAGATGCCTCCATCCTTCATTATGGTATTCCCATGGTAACCCTCAGGAAGGGAGCAGAGGGACAGCTAACCACTGAGAGTCTATTTTTAGATTTCAGGCAGATGCTTTTCCAAATCTGTTGAAGGAAAGAAAATGAAACAAATGTAGAAGAGGATTTTTTTTTAAGGCCAAAGACAATCTCATTTAAAATTTATATTAAAAAACTGGAAAAGCCCTTGCGAGATCATTCAACACACCTCTCTCTACCTTTAAGAGGATGTACTTCTAAGCCATAAGATAGAAACAAAAATTGTGCAATAAGGTTTTTTAGAACATTTTACTTAATAGCCTATTCTAGTCGGAACCCATACTTTCCACCCTGAATATACCCTGTATGCAGTCTCAGTTCTGAGACCAAGGCAATTGGAACTGAGACCAAGATTGCTCAAGGTGAGGACTATACAGCTCTGAAGACGTAATGCATTTGGACTCCACCACCAACGGCGCTCCCTCGGTTTGTGCAGTGCACATCCTGTGCAACCATTTGCACTGGCTCTGCTTTACTCACCTTTCAAAATATAAATCTCTCCCACCCTCCTTAAAAACCTTCAGGGATTTCTCGCTGCTCTTAGGTTAAAGGCCTTTGATCTTTAAAGCGGCATTAAAATACAACATGATAATAGTCCTGTCCAGAATCATTTGGTACTGTTATAATTCTATTGCCTTGTGTTTCAGCAAAAGACCTTCTTTTAGAGTCTCAACATGCCATCCGTCTCCTATTTCAAGATCTTTGCATGTGCATATGAGACTTTTCCCCATGCTCTCCACCTAGTTAATTTCTCAGTTAACTCCTTATATTTCCAATCAGAACTCAAATATCAGAAAGACAAGAGAAGGAGTTCCTGCAATAGCTTCTCCTAACATTTTGTGCATTTTCTTAACAACACTTAACAGTTTGTATTTCTTTATTGGTGTGACTTTTTTCTATTACTTCAAACAATGAACTTTATATTGTTGGGGAATTATATTGTTTAATCACCATTATGTATCTAGTACCTAGCACCATGTTTGCCAAATAAATTATTCTAACAATTGAATGAATGACTAGCAGTCATTTTAAAGGGATATAGTGGCAGATTCTCTGTCAAGCCAAGCTGCCAATGTGGTTGCACTGGGGCTCCGCAAAATGTAGTGCACACTCAGATTTCCCAGAACACTTGTTAAAATGCAGATTCTGATTCAGTAGCTCTGGGATGAGGCCTATGATTCTGCATTTCCAACTAGTATCTAACTAGCTCTAGAACTTGGTTCCCCACTGGAATCGGCACAGGAGCTTTAAGTAAATTTGCTCTGAGGTCCCACCCCCGGTGCTTATGGTTTAATTGGTGTGCGGCTGGGGATTTGTAAAAGCTCTCAGTTTATTCTAATATCTAACAATCTTGGAGATCCATTGATTCCAGGCAAAGCTCATCCTCAGCAGTAGATTAAGAGATATCCTTTGCATCCAACATGCTCATCTGATAGGGATATATCTTATTACTCTTTTTTAAGAGCAGGACTCTTAAGAGACACACACAAAAGTGGTACCTAGCATTGGCTGTATGAGTAGAGAGAATCCTATGTGAGTTGGTTAATGTGGCAGCAGAGAGGTCTGTCTGATCTTCAACTTCCCCACTTCTACACATGGGGCAAATGCGTATCTTATCAAATATTTTTAAAAGTACACGTAGCTATTGAAAAAAGTAGAACATTTTGGTAGGACCAAAGGTGGTTAAATGCAGCCCAAAGAACAATGCATAGTTACTCCAAAATTAACAGAAACAAAGAACTTTGGTGCTCTTCTAAAAGCTGCACCATTGATAGCAAATTGCCTGATTGCAGACTTGCCCGTAATCGTGAACTTGAAGAGGAGCTATAGGCTCCTGGGCATTTGGTTGCTCTTTTTGGAGATCAATGCTTCTTAATCTAAAGCACAGTAATAATTTCCTTTGCTTCTCATTTATTACTCTGATTTTTTCCACTGAATTATTTTTGTTAGTGTGTTTAATCTTAAAAAAGAAATTCACAACGTGGAGTGCAATATTTTTGTACTTAGCACAGTACTGTTTCAAGCCCCATACTAGTTGTTGTCACAGTCTTCCCTACTTTATCTTCTCAGCAAAACTGTTAGGTAGCTGTTGCTGTTATCACATTGTACAGATTAAACTAAGGCTTGTCAGTTTATGAGCATGCAAGAGACACACAGATGACCAGTGGCAGAGCCCAGTTATACCTGATGCTGTTTCTACCCCAGAGTTAATGTATTACAGCCTATAGGACAAATTCAGCCTTCAGGTATGTGGGTCTATATGGTCTCAATTTTTAACGAGGTGCCAAATTTAGGCAGCAGAACATTTCCTGTAACTATCCATATTGCAAGCTTACGCTTAAAATAATCATGTCTGACAACATTGAGTAACTTGCCTGCAAGCCTGAAGCTTGCCTGAAGCTGAGAAAGGTTTTTCCCTTTTATATGACAGTCTCCCTGCCTCTCACTAAGATCTCTTTCAGTCCTGACCTGGCGAGAATTTATGAGTCCTGCTTGGACCCTTCATGCCTCTGGGTTTTCAAATTAGCATTTAAACGCTACAGAGGGAAGAAATGATTCTTACAACGTGAACAAACTTTATGTCAGGAAAAAAAATGTCCTCTCTTTCGGCGAGTTGGAGAATAAATATTACATTGCCATTTTTGTGATTGTGGACCTTTTTAGGACTACTGGTACATAAGCATCTAGCAGAGTGTTCTGATTTCTTTGAACACAAAGTGGTAGAGCTTGGTATCCTACCTTCTGATTCTAGTACTTAGCTGGTTGTAGTGGTTAATTGCATGGTGTGGTTCAACAGCTGTAGCCCTTGCTGACCCACATGGCCCTCGTATCATGGTATAGCTGCTTTCTGTTCAGTCTCCTGCAAGCAGGGCTGTGATAAGGGGGAAGGAACCTTCCTGAAGATGTCAGGACTGACCTGGTGTGGTGTGAGCGGTCCTGGGCAGGGTTTCCCAGGAACGCAGTCGCTGATTTCTGATGTAGCAGGAAATGCAGAAAAAACAATTCGCACCGTAAGGGGTCTGCAGCTTAGTTCTGAAAACTGCCTGCCGCTCTTGCAGTGTGCCCGTGTCTTTGTTTCCTTTTCATGGCTGGCTTTGACCCAGCGCCCCTCTTGCTGTTGGTCTCGATGCATCCCCCAAATCACTCAACCTGGCATTCTCCATGGCAGAGCCCCCTCACTGCCCATTGGAGCCCTGGGACTCAACAGAGCTCATGCCCATCCATGCGCTGTGCTACTCAAGCCTCAGAATGACCCTATGACCTAAATCTGGTTATTCCCAGGCAATGGTGGCTCAAAAGGCTGTGAAATTTGGAGAATTGATAAGTAAAAGAATTTTTTAACGGTTCAAGGTAACCTTGACTATTTTGTTCCATATTTCACTTTGGGTTTAAGAGGCTGATATATTCCGCTAATGGAAAACTGTTAAGGGAAGCAGATGCAAAGAGAACACTCCTTTCCATCAGCTTTATAGTAAACTGTTAATGTGAGGTTTCAGTAGTGCCTAGTTTTGCCTCTTTAAATTATGATGTGCACAAACTTTCTTTCCAATGCAATGCATCTAAAGCTTGGATACCTGTAATTTTTTGTTGTTGTTCTGATTGTTTAAGAATCACGGGTTTTTTTTTTGTAACTCTTTGGTCATTGTCCTTGTGTATAGTGACAGCCACATCTGTCAGCCCATTTCATTCAAGATGGTTAATTACTGAAATGCCAGACTTCTAAATTAAATGTTTTGGAATTCATTGGGTAAATAAATGCTGCTTTGGGGATAAAAATATATGTTTTAAAAAGAAGCAACTATAGTAATTGAGCAAGGTGTACAAAACATGTGAAAAATAATTGTACTATTCCTTATTTCACCACATGGCATGCCAAGTGAGACATCATCAGTTTTAAGGTATGACATATTCAATGTGCCGCTGTGAACAGAAAAATACTGTCAATGAAATTTATATTATGTCATTTATATTATGCAGATTGCTATCCCTATCGAAATTACAGATCTTCTGACTTAAGTAGTCACATCTGAGAAGTAACAAATCAGTACTCATTAAACTTTTGTTGCATGCCCTTAATGTATGACACTTGCTCAGACTTGTTAATTGTCTTAAAATAAGCCATAAGAAAATAAATGCAAGCATATTTACGCTACAATGTTTTCCCTTCAGCAACCATCAACTGAACTAGAATTCGACCGTGTGGTGATTTATACCACTTGCCTTCGCGTGGTGCGGACAACCTTTGAAAGATGTGAACTGGTAAGAAAGATCTTCCAAAACCATCGTGTAAAATTTGAAGAGAAAAACATAGCTCTGAATGGTGACTATGGAAAAGAGTTAGATGAACGATGCCGACGAGTTTCCGAAGCTCCTTCCCTCCCGGTCGTGTTCATCGACGGCCATTATCTTGGGGTAAGGAGAATCTTATTTTTGTTGAACCCTACAGAAGTGATAGAAATCAGTAGACCTATGACAAGGTAACTTGCAACATAACTACCAGGACACTTGCTATTTTTGGAGTTCAAACCAAAGGGACTGAAACACTTATTTCTATCCCAAAACAATGTATTGCAACAGTGTTCGTCCCCACAGAAGCATGATGAGATAAAATCAGCATGAAATTGTCTTTTTGAATAGGACACGTTTTAAAAATATTCAGTGGACATGAGTTTTGTGTTATGAAGTTTAACATGTGGTACAGAAGCTAATGTTTTTTTGGTACAGGCAAGAATAGTGGGATATTTGGAAGATACATATTTGTGAATTCTCTTAGACTCCATTATCCAGCGCTCAGTTTCCTACCTAACGAACCTAAGATGACAGTCCTGAAATGAAATCAATAAGCACTGGAGCCTGGAGCCAGGATTTTATCTGCTTGTTTAAGATCATTCTTGATTTTGGTAATGCAGTGTGAGACACAAATGCAGGCTAACAGTAAGCAGAGAGAACTCCCAGAGCGGCAAGAAAACATGCCTGCTTCATTTCTCTTTGAATAATACTCTTAGCACAATAACTCCCATTGATCTATGGACGTGCTCAGTCCGTAAGGAGCCTTGGCGAGGGCTCTGGTTAGTGCACTTTGCAAAGGCTGGGAGCAGAGAGCCCAGAGACACCGGCAGTTGAGGAGGGTGGGGCTGACTACAGGGTCACTTACCAGAGAACAAAGAGGGCCTGTCAAACCCCAGATATGCTTGGATCTAGGTTTTGTTTTGTATCTGGTCTTCACCTTCACCTTTCCGGCGAGGTCAGAAAAACCAAGTGCAGAAAATACTCACGTTCTGTTACAGGGAAACTCACTTTCTTGCCATGTTCTTATAGGGAAACGGTGTTCTGATATAGTGTCTAGAGCCGCAATTATTAGAGGCAGCCTGTCATCTTGTGGAAAGATAAACCCAGAAGAGCCGTGATTCATTAGCTCTGACATTATGCAATCTGACTTTCATTCTGAAGCAGGGGAATTTTGATTTGAAGTATTGAGCCTCATTTATTATATTTCAACACAGACCCTTAGGTCTCAGAAAGCTGTAACAATGGCAGTGATCATCATGATAAATCGTAATGATAATACCAGTAATACTACAAACCTACGCTCAGGACAGCCTTGAAAATCAACTCTGTGGCATACTGGTGAAGAAGCAAGACAGCATTGGAAGCGGACAGTCTTGTTTCAAATTCCTGCTCTGATGCTTCCGTGTCATTCTGGGCAATTTGCAAATCACCCTGTGCCTTGATTTCCTCATTTGTACAATGAGAGTGATAATAAGACTTTTCTCATATGCTAATTGTGAAGATTTTATGATATATATGCTTAGTTCCTGTGCTGGGAACAAAGTTGTGTTTTCAATAAATATTGACAATTATTATTCCTGTTTTGCAAAAGAGAACAGTAATTCCTTGTGCCAAGTCACATACATAGCTGGGAAGTGGCAGGGCAAGATTCAAAGTTAGGTTGGTCCAACTCCCCCAAGCCTTGCTGTTTGGTACTGTACCTCAAAGAAAGGAACCGTTGACTGTTGCTGATGCATCCTTAGCACCTACAACAGGGCTTGGCACAAAGTGCTAGAAAACATATGTTGAATGGATGTATGAATGATGCTCTTTTGTCTACTCATAATCTTTCCTTCTCTCCTAAAGACACTCTTTCATAAAGAAATGATCTTATATACTCATCCACACCAGGCAGAAGATCACTGATAAAGATTGTGAACGTTTGCCTTTAACCCAGAAAAAATTTCCTCTGATAATGTAAGATATTTCTCATTGTGAAATTTAAATTTCCGTGAAGCTGCACAACAAAAATGAGTGGGTGACCAATTGTCTGCTTATGCAAGTACAAGGCTGGCCATGCCTGTTACACTGCTCTGGACCATGTTTATATTCTTCTTGCTTCTCAGACAATCTAACAGACTGGGGTGCCTTTTCTGCTTTCAGTCTTTTAGTTTGAAGATTAGGAAGAGAGCACAACAGAGGAGGTAGGGTGTCGATTTCTCTCAACTGTTTTTGTTCTGTGATCACTTTAGTAGCCCAGAGGAGGGAGGAGCATGCAGGTGCTACTTTGCTGCTTCTGAAATTTGAAGCTAATATTCCAAGCCCAGAGAGGGACCAGAGACAGAGGCTTTCTATCTCCTTTTCTACTTACTATAAAAGGAAAATTACTTCTAAATCTATAATTCAAAATGGAGGTAAACACTCCAGAATAACATAACAAATTTCCCTCCTACGGCAAGAGCGTTTTTATTTAAGTTGCAGTGCAGTGGAAGGCATTGCGGGCACTGTCGAGCCTTTTTGCTGCAGTATCGTGCATCTGAGATGGGAGGACGCCCTCTGCTGGGTTTTGGCATGTGGAGACGTATAATTTTTTTATGGAGAAAAAGAGGCTGATGTTGGTAATTTCCTTATTATCTGTGAGGTTTTAAACAGTCACGTGAAACCATCTGACTTAGCTTAAATATAGACGAGTAAGAAAAATTAAAATGCGTGAATCGTCTGCATAATACAACTTTCATTAAGAAGGGAGAGAAAAGAAAGAGAGCCAGCGAGAGCCGAAGAATGAGTTAAACAGAGGCAGAAACCGAGACAGTTGGAGGCAGGCTGCAGGAGGCACCGAGAAGGGATGTGCAGAACAGGAGAGCGTCTGTGGCTCCTTTATTTTACTGCCAGCATTGCCACCCAACCCAGAGGTGTGGTGCCAAAGGAGCTCAGTTACCTTCGTTGAAGAGAAGATACCAGTTCAGTGAGTGAGAATAGAAGAATTGACAAAGACGCTGACTTCTTTTTCCCCAGCCAAACTAAAAACTAAACATGAAAGCAATGCCATGATCAGAGGAAAGAAATTACTTTAGACAACACATTTATACTGCCCTGGGATTCTCCATTGCCTGGGGCTGGTGGACTGGGGTTTGGGGAGCAAGTTCAGCTTGGAATTTCCTTAGGACAGTTGCCCTGTTGTTTTGGCACCAGATAATCTTCTTTACACAAAAAGATTGTGTCCCAGTAGTTTCGACATAAATTATCTTAGAAATTGAGGTAAGAAATAGGTTAGCAATAGCATTTTGACTCTGGACCAACCATGAAACTTTACAGTGGAAATCCACAAAACCTGCCCTGGAACTGAGTGGTAAAACACATAGGCTGAACCTCAGCGGGGACTTGAGTAACAGAGTGAAGAATAGAAGGGCTGTTGATTTAAGTAGGTCTCTTAAACTGGCTGATACTGAGGTGAGACTGCTTGAAAATTTCATTATTTAGAATTAAAGTACTGTTTTATTCCATTTAAGAATGAAAGAATCCCTTTCATGCATAGCTACTTTACAGACTAGAAATACAGGCTCTCAGCACTTGTCTAGGGACCGCTTGCAAACCTCTGCACAAGCGCTCACCAAGGAAGCCTCGGCCCAGGTCAGGCAGTGGGCCGCTCTGGAAACTGAGTGTTTTTTGCCATGGCTCACTAGCAAAATGGATGATTTCTTCCCTGTCCTTCTTTCAACATTAATCTATTCCTAGGTAAAGTCTGGAGAGCGAGCATCTGTGGTTACTCAAGTCACATATGAAAACTGTGAGAAAAAAATGGGACATGTACTTTTTAGTTCCTAACTTCTTCAGTACAGGAAGCCATTAGAAAAGATTGGATTGGTTACTGAATGAGCCAAACCACAGTATCTGCCAGATACCTTGTTTTCATTTATTTTGTTTTGTTTTATTCAGCTTTATTTAGGTGTCATTTATATATAATAAATTATATCAATTTAAAGCATGAGATTTTATGAGTTTTGACAATTGTGTAAACCTGTGAATCTACCAACATGTTCAAGATACTGAGCATTTCCATAACCCCTCTAACACTCTTTGTGTTATTGACAGTCAATCCCTTCCTCCAACCCTAGTTCCCTGGTAGCTACTGATATTTCTGTCAACAAAGTTTTCTATTCTTCTAATGTCTTTGCCAGGTTTTGGTATCAGGGAAACGATGAGCTCATCGAGTGAATTTGGAAGTATGTTACCCTCTGCAGCTTAATTTCTGGAGCCTTTATGTTTTAGTGTAGATCCTTATATCCATTTGACATTAGTTGCCTTTTATTTGAAGAGCTTCTTACTATTGTAGTGTGGGTCTGATGTACATGAATTCTTTCAGCTTTTTTACATCTGAAAGGTTATGTGATCACTGCTTCTAAAAAGGTATTTTTGTTGGATATAGAATTCTAGGTTGAAAAGGTTTTTCTTCTTTCATCACTTTAAAGAAATTGTTCCTCTCCTTCCTATTTGCATTGTTTCTGATGAAAAAAACCTGTTGTCATCCTTATATTTGTTCCTCTGTATGTAATATGTCTTTCTCCTCTGACTTCTTTTTTGTTTCTTTATCACTTTCTCATCTTTTGTCAGAGGCTTCAATTACATGCATATGAGGCTGTGTGAATTTGTTTCACAGGTTACTTCATTTTATTTTGGATAGTTTCTATCACTATACAGGGTGGGGCAAAAGTAGGTTTACAGTTGTTTTTATGGAAAATAATACAATAATTAATAAATAATAATGCAAGAATAAACTCTGTGTTTCATGTACTCACAACTGTAAGCCTATTTTTGCCCCACCTTATATCTCCTAGGTCCCTGATCTTTTCTTATGTAACATCTAATCATTAGACATTTAATTAAAAATATCTTATGTGTTCCTATATAACAAGTTCAATATTTCTTCTAGCTTTTTGAACATATGAGCTGTACATATAATAACTGTTTTAATCTCCTTGTCTGACAATTCTAGTATCAGTGTCACATCTTAGTTAGTTTGAATTGATTGATTCTCTCTTAATTATAAATAGTAATTTCCTGCTTTTTTACCTGCCTGGTAATTTTTTAATTGAATTCCAAATGTTGTAAATATGCCTTGTTGGGTAAAAATATCCCTTGTTGGA